AAATGTAGAAGAAATGGAGATACACGTTTCTGGGATCAAACCCGACGCACAAGACGCGGCTAGAGTGGTATCTGCAGCAGTACAAGCGGGAAGCGCGGCACTTGGTGCGCTTCGTCGTATCAATATCGTTCTAAAAGGGAATACACGACGAGATGTCGAGAAGGGAAACGAGGTTTTAAAGGAAATAAAGGACATCATTAGGATCCCACTTACATTCAACGACACCCACTCTGTACTGGTACGCCACAGGTGGGCATATTACGAGTATGATCACCGCGCACTCTACGACTACGAGATGGACGAGGGTAGTGGCTGGACGGACTGGAAGGCATAGCATAGTGTTCGTATCCTAATTTCATTTGCGTTATTGCATTCTAGAGTGGCGAAACCCCAGACCATATGTACTGTAATCGACGATTCAATAAACACAACTCTCTTGTTTTCTTGGGAATTGTTCAGGGTATATCGAGTTGAATAGGTCGATAGGCACTATGGTCAAGATGAGGAGGCGACTTTCTAGTTTTGGACCTTACCACCGCCACCAGTAACCCGATCGCCCAAAATCTGTACAGTGGGATAGGGAAATCATTCATTCCTCCGACTTTCTCTTCAGGGTTTATTCCATTCCAGGCCAAAATTTTGGATTTTTTCCCTAAATGTTGACAGAAGGTCCGCTGTCCACGCTCTGATATGACCACAGCTCTTATCAACAATCTCCCTACGGAGATCTTGGAAGAAATATTCGCATCCTATTATCTCTCGGACACCTTCTCTCCCCTCTTCCTCAAGCTCGTTTGCCAACGATGGTGCCGGGTAGTCGAGTACATGTCGATAATGCGTAGCGATATCCTGCTGGCACCTGACATTGGCTGTGAATGCCGAAAGGATATCTCCCTAAAAGGTACATGGTTTCTATGCAAGACCATGTCCCAAATAAATGAAGCGCTCGACAGATTAGGACACCGCAAGTTCAAGCTGACCATATTGGGATGTAGGACCTGCTTCCACGAATCCGATATCTACGACACAGACCCCAATCTGAATGCAATCAATATATTATGTGTCTCTCTCCAGATAATGTGTCCAATCAGCTTCGCTAGTCCTTTGCTAGGGTCTATCAAGGACATGACAAACCTCGAATGTTTCAAGATCCGCGCAATCGATCAGAACTCATATGGAGAAAGTGGTCCAACGGATGAAGATGTCAGAAATATGCTACCTGGACAACCTCACCGTCTCAGAGATCTTGGGGTAATTGATGTGGGGATTCTTAGAGTTGATAACAGCAAGCATCAAGCACTCAAATGCCTGAAGAGCTGTACCCTCTACGATGGTAGCACGTTATCTCGGCCACGCCTCCTAAACCTATTGTCCAGTCTCGAAAATCTATCCACGTTGAAATGGGTTCGGCCCCATCTCCGCTATGTTGGCCGTATGCCTTCTCACTTGCAACATTTGTACCTTGAAAAAGGTTACATAGGGTTCTTTCCAACTCAAACCCTTGACCAGTTGACTACGCTCAAGCTGGTTGTGGAGAGAAATGCTGCCCATGTCAAAAATATGTACAAGTTGCCCAACCTCCGACGTCTCTCCATCATAGCCAATTGACCACGCTCAAGCTGGTGGGACTATTGGGAGACGCAAACGGTTATCCCTTC